AATATCTTTACTTTTGGTGAAAGATAACAAACAATTACTATTAACTATTTCGTATGGTATACTGTATATTATTTGATATAAATATTCGTAAAAGCTGAAGAAAGGTATGATATGTTCATGACAGATAATGTTCAAGTGCAACTTCTCGCATGCCCCCTAGCACCGGCCTAAGCGGTATTCAATCTTCGATGGAATCAAAGTATCATAATAATGTCAAATATATTTGTAAACAAATTCAATTTCTTACGAACATAATAAATGTCTTAAAATACTATTTCTGGCACAAACCTTACACAAGAATTATTTGTTGTTTTTGTTACTACGTAATAGTTTTCTTACAATTCTCTGTATTATGTATCGAAATGCAATTCTATTTTTATGTTTGATTTGTATTAAATAAATTGAACCCAATGGTGTTTCTGGCTTTAATAAGTTATGTTATTGTTGCTAAAACATAGGTCTATACTTACAAAAGCAAGCATTACATATAACCAGAGTGAATGTTACTTGAAGAGTCCCTTAAAAAGTCACTTAAAGCGGAAAAAAACACTTAAAGGCCACCTAGCACGGCAAAATTGAAGATGGTACATGTTTGATTTGATTAAGCCTGTCGTAGTAAATACGAGCAGACCGTCCACGCCAAATGGCACTCTGCCTAAGTAAATAACACATTTTAAGAATATGGAGGGAATATTTAACAAAACAATTTCTCGGTTAATGTTAAGTGACAGAGAATACTAAATCATACTGTCCATAAATTAATGATACTATTTTCAAATATACAGAATGATGTTTTCCAACACTGCGTAGTTAAATATTTGTGTTTCCATATTGGAATACAATCCCGCTTTCACATTCTAAACATGTACGTACTTTAAGGAAATTGGAAATCATGCAGCGAAATGCACTTATAACTGCGTAATAATACTAGTGAAGAGAATGGCGGAATCGATTTTATTGTTGCAAAATGTATCATTTGCGACAGATTACAAACTTCATTATAGCGTGTAGGTTAGTCGTAAACCACATCTCCTTAAATGTAATAAATACAGTATTGTATTTATACTGAAAATATATATATACTCGGATACAACTTAAAACTTCAAAGTTCATTGATTAAATATCTATTCATTTCAATTTTCTGAATAATTTCATTTTAATGTTTCCACCACCATTTAATTTAATTTTATGACGTATTGTGTAATTAAAGTGTAGATTTGATATTGCAGTCGCCTCCACACATGTCAAATAAAAAATGTCACCATTAGTAATCTGCCATAAGAAAAATAAATAATAATAATTATTATTATTATTATTATTATTATTATTAGTAGTAGTAGTAGTAGTAGTAGTAGTAGTAGTAGTAGTAGTAGCAGTAGTAGTTTTCGTTGTTGTTTTTTTTTGTTGTTGTGTTTTTTTGTGTATTTTCGGTTTGTTTTTTTTTTGTTTTTTGTTTTTTTTGTTTTTTTGTTGTTGTTGTTGTTGTTTCTTCTGGCCTTTAATAAGTTACGTTATTGTTGATAAACATAGTTTCATACTTAAAAAAAACAAGCATTACATATAACCGGAATGTATTTTACTTAAAAGAGTCCCTTTAATGCGAAAAAGATACTTAAAGATCACCTAACACGTCAAAATTGAAGATATTACATGTGCGATTTGATTGAGCCTGTTCTGTTCTGGTAAATATAAGTTTTTCGTACACACCAAATGGTACTCTGCTTAAGTAAATATCAAATTTACAGAATCTGGGAGAATATTTAACGAAACTTCTTACTTGGTTAATGATAAGTGACTAAAAGTAATTAAATAACGTTGTCCGTAAGTTAATGATACTATTTTCAAATATACAGAATGATGTTTTCCCTGTAAAGTGATAATACTGCGTAGTTTAATATTTGTGTTTCCATATTGGAATACAATCCCGCTTTCATACAAGAAGAATACGTTCTAAACATGTACTACTTTAAGGAAATTGGAAATCATGCAGCGATTTGCACTTCTAACTGCTTAATAATAGTATTATTACGCAGTTAGAAGAGAATGGCAGAATCGATTTAATTATTGCAAAATGTAATATTTGCGACAGATCATAGCGTGTAGGTTGGTGGTAAACCACATCTTCCTTAAATGTAATAAATAAGTATTTTTCTCCTTTTGTTGTGTATGTTCATTTATTATTAAATTGGTCGTCTTTTATTGAAAGCAACATGTTTTGAAATGCTAATTTAAGTCACTTTACAATGTTTACAGTTTGTAAATTCCATGATAAATGTTTGTTTTACAGTTCATTACATCAAATAACAAGCAATGTTTTCTCGTTTCCTGTCTGTTGTTGTGAATTCCATGTCATACTAGACAGGTAAAATGTATGTTGCTATTTTCGTACGTGATGTTGCTTTTTTTAAGTCATATGACTTGACCTATGGCACGTAGACTGGTTGTTTATAAAGATTCATACTTGTAAACAACTTCAATATCTTATAAACATAAAAACTGCTTGTAAAGATGTGGCAGTCTCCTACTTACTAAAACAGTAATTGTAAATTATATAAATTATTCATTTAAACATCCCCGAATTATATATATATAACATTCCTTTTTTGGATGATATCACTTTCTCGTTGAGAGTGACCTACTAAATTTTATTAATTCTTTTTTTAATTTCTTTAATGAACTTGTTTTAAACTAGAACTACAGGCTTACACTATAGAAGTCAGTGATTTTTCACCTTTTAAAAATAACAAAGACATATCAATGGCCTCTTCCCAATTCCCAATCCCAATGGAAATTCATTGTATAATCTTGCAGTTTTCCCAAACATTTTTACTTAAACCAGTTATTAGACTTCCCAAATAAGCAATTTTAGCGATAATTCTTCCCAAAATCAAGAGGCTAAGGCCACTTCCCAATAAAGTGAGAAAAATACTAGCATTGTTAAAATTAATGTCCCTGTTTTATAATGATACAAAATGTAAAATAAATACTTTAGAATAGAGAATTAACTGCGTTCATTTTAATTCATCCGAATTGGACCCAATAGAGAACTAACATTAAAATATCTCATTTAAAAGAATATTCACTACATGTTTACATGTTTATCTCCAAGTCCTGCCGGGATTAATAGAGGGACATGTTGTCACGTGGTAGGAATATTATATCATCTTACATATAAAGAAAACAATTTCAAGACTGATAAACACTCAGAAATAAAAATTGTTTTCTCCTTCCGTAGAATGTTACATGTTTGTTTCAATAATAGATGTAAGATGCTTATCACATGGAAGGATAGAACTGAGTAAGAAATAATTTGTGATAAAAGGTAGCAAAAATTAAACAAGGTAACTCTCCTATGGTTTTTGGAAATTGTAGCTCTAACAGGACACCGAAAATTAAAAAAAAAACGTTTTTTTATCTATTATTTTATTTCAAATATTAAAAATTTTATGCTAAGAGGCTCATTATTCCCCAGAAATGCCTTTATTTTCATTTCTCTAAAGCTCTTTATATTTGGCGTTCGTTAAAAGTTTCCGGAAAGTAACTTTTTGGCCCATAACCAAAATCATATTTTGCTTCTGTTGTATTCGGTACAGTATTACGGTATTTAATGAAGTCAAAATACTACTTTGTTTACATGTTGCTACTTTTATGACAAATAATATCACATTCAGTACTACTTTCTACATTGTTTAATAGGGCCACTTATAAAAAAATAATCAAGAAATGTACTAAAAATTAATTGAAAATCTTCCCTTTTTGCGCTATTCTTGGCCAGCGTTACAATGCTCGAGTCTTGCTCATTTTTCACAATTAAAATAAATATTGTGAAGAAAAAAACGGAATGATCCTAAATTTTGCAGACAATGTTTTGCTTTGACCTTTATCAAATGAAACATTAATCTCGAAAAATTAACTTCCGTTCCTGTCATGTCAGAAAACCTCAATTGTGTCCCTTAATTTTACAAGAAAACGTAAACCCACAGTTATCATAGAAACGTATTTTGACATCTGGATTACAATACAGACGAATTATTTTTTACTACTTTTAGTACATTTATAGTGATTAAGTATTTACAATTTAAGTCAATATACATCTTTCACATTACAGTTTTAGATTACTTCACATTATTCAGGACATAAACATCTTAGATGTTGTATATTCATTTTTACAACGTCGGTCCTTTCTGAAGATGTATTGATAGATGCTTATACAGGTGGAAATTAGTCTATGAATTGCAACATGTCTAAATTTAAGGCGGATTAACATGTTCCATGTGGCGTAATATAAGTTTGTGATAAACCACACTTAACTAACATTACGCTGCATGTAAAGTTTATCTTACTTTCAAAATAAAATATGACGTATTTACTCTCATGCCCATTGAAGATAAGTAATAGAAAGAGCATCGAAACACGAGGCTATCTGATTTGTACGAGAGGGCGTATCCCCCGAGTATAAATCCGATTGCCGAGTGTTTTGATGATCTCATAGTCAAACATAAAAACACGTTCCCTGATACTACAATATGAAACCCCACAAAAAGTAACCAATGAACGAGCATCTGAATATGATATTTCCATCGCTATCCCTTTGAACCAAAATGAACCAATCAATGGGCATGCTCTGGAGTGCGTGTAACTAATACCTGCACTCCAGTTAACGCACTGTGCATGTATATGTATACGATTTAACTCTGTCACATTTTCAATAGAAAGGTCCCCAAACTATGATACAAGACTTATTTTATAGTATCTGATCTTATTGACACTTAAATATTTGTTTTTTTTCTAAACTTGCTTTCCTTTTCTTTCTATCCCACATAAAATTATAATGCAGCAAATTTTAAACAAAAAAAATTTGAAAACGTGTGAAAATTACGCAAATGCACTACTAACAACTGCGCAATTGTATTGAGGGGAAAAGATGGAAATACTAGTTCAACGGCCTTTATCTGTTCGAACAAGGATCAAATTAACACACGATTGTGTCACCTTTTACCTGCCTTATCACAAAACTACGAACAATGTATATAAAGGATCTGTTAAGAGTGGAAATAGAAGAAAAATGAAGTCAGAAACAAGTCTATGTTTCGGCATTATAATTTCGATTTTCTGTTTCGGAGTTCGCATTGATGCCACCACTAAATCTGTTCAAGACACAAATGATTTTAATAACGAAAAGTTCGAGTTACTTTTAAAACGACTTGAACATGTGGAACGCCGGAATGACGAAATGGAAAGAAGAATGGAAATAATGGCTGCAGACTTCCGTGAAAAAGAAAACGCTCTGAACGATCGCATTTCGGAACTAGAAAAACTAAAAAATCCCAGAAACAGTGATAATGACAATCACGTGACTAACGAACGCTTTGTCAACGCGCTTGATGATAGTGACAATGTAACAGATGAAACAGGCGGTAGAGATGCAGTGCAGAAACAAACACGTACAATTATATCAGGTAATATAAAATATATACAAACTACATGTATACATTTATATTGATTTTAAATCTGTATAAAACTAAAGAGTCTGGCCAAAAACTCATCTTATACTTTACATGGAACTGAATGTTAGAGAGAGAAAAACGAGAAACGTATTAGCCTTAATTAGTATATTACAAACGTCAAACATCTTAGCTGTGTTACCTAACTATAGTATCAACTTTTCATTATTTTCTCTTTGATATTGTAGAGTCAGTCCATAGTACATGTTGTTGTCTTTTTAAAAAATCTCATTTCAGGTTCAAGACTTGTGCGTTCTGTGAACTCGGAGGTAGCGTTCTTAGCCACGGTCACCCCACATGACATTGGCAATTTAGGCGTAAACCAAACCATTGTTTTTGATCACACCTTTACCAACACAGGCAACGCCTTCGATAACATTCAAGGCATATTCAAGGCACCTGTTGCAGGCACATATGTATTGTGCGCCACGGTTGCTGGGGAATCTTCCGGCGGTGAACAGATTTACTACGCTCATTTTGACGTAAATGGGAAATATGTTGCTAACTTCATCGCACATCCCTATCAACAATCCACACAAATGATAATAGTTCAACTCAAAGCCGGTGACGATGTATCCGTGAAAAACAGCTGGGCGGACTCAAAAATTCTAGGGGCGATATATACGTCATTTTCCGGATTTTTACTGTATCAGGATCCATAAATATAGAAAGAAAATAAAAAAAACAACAACATTTGTTACCTTTTTATCTATAGTTCCTTGGTAATTATTTCAACAAAAAGGTTTATAAAACAAGAAGTATAAAAAAGTATTAAAAAATCAAAGCACTGAAAGTACTGAAGTATACATTGCTTGATAATATAATCCATTTTTGTCATCAAAGCCATGTTGATTTTAACCTACTGACCTCGAAAACAATAGGGGTCGTCTTCTGACCAAGATCAATGTCCCTAACAAGTGATTCACATGCACCAAGGCTTTTTTCTTCAAAAGTTATTTATGAGTCAAGGAAGATGTAATTTAATGTTCCATCTGTGTATTGCTAGGGCAAGCTGATAGATGAGCAATAAAGAAATCATTTTTTGAAACACCCGTTAAATGGACTGCAGTATAGAATATTGAAACAGTCATATTGAGTTTCCAGTGATGCTATCTGATAAAATACATGATCTGGCTTGAACTCTATACATAGTCAATTAATTGAATCATCCTACAAGACTTAATTACCAAATTATAGTACATCTATGTACTGTACTTTGATGCATTAATAAATATATTCCGGTGTGTTGTATTAATCCCTACACATTAATTTTCAAATGCATTACTTTATCGTTAATTAATAAAAATGAAATCTATAATCACAACAATTCAAATGTACTGTAATATTTTCATTATTCAATAATTGTTACATATAGTCTTCATGAACAACCTTTCCATCCGTTTACATTGGACAGCAAGTTAACAAGGGTTTTCCATGCGCATAATCAGGTTGTGTTACCAACTTCTTAACTTTAGATGAACCACTGAGCTAAAACATTTTTTTTTCTATTTTTTGGCTACTGTGACATACTTCTGATTTTCAACCAAGGTGATCCATGTTCAAACTCGAGCAAAACCTGTCACACACATTCTTACGATGTTGTGTGACAATTGGGACAAAAGTGTGACCAGTAGAGTGTTAACAAACTAAATGACCAGCAGATTGTTAACAACTGTAATGTCAGCGTCGGATACACATGGTTGATTAACATTTAACATGACATAACTGATAAATGTAAATGGTTCGGCCGTGGGTATCCGACGATGCTAAATGTGGACAGACCAGAGTTGACATAAGATGGATGGCCGACATTCAACAATCTAAAACCTCACCCTGAGCCAACCTATAAGTTTCACCACTGACTTTTTCATACTGTACTTATTACAAAAAATAACTGACATTTTACAAAGGTAATAAATTCTATGTCATAGTTATTCATTTAAACGGTTGAAAAATGTATTTAGCAGCATTTTTTTAAAAATATATTTAGTATTTTATTGCAAGTAAAATGTGTTGTTTGTTTATTTTTTTTTCTATGTTTTTGACGCTAGGCAGTATCATAGCCGATAAACAATTTCATACAATGTTTATTACAAAAATATTACTGATATTTTACATTGCTTACACATATAATGTTATAATCATTCATTTAGACGGTTGAAAATTTTATTTAATAGTTCTTATTTTTGAAATGTCCATTTCATCGCAAGTAAAATGTGTTGTTGTTTTTTTTTTATTATTTTGGGCTTTTCCATGTTTTTGACGCTAGACCGTTACGTAGCCGAAAAACACTTTCATGCTGTATTTATAAAAATAACATCACTGACATTTTACATTGGTAACAAAAGAAAGTAATAGTTATTCATTTAAAAGGTTGAAAAAAATAGCGGCTCTTGTTTTAACTACGACTATTTTAATGCCCGTACAAATGTGTTTTCCGGCTTTTTCATGTTTTTTTACGCTAGACTGTTACTTTGCCGAAAAACACTTTGATATCGCATTTAATACAGAATAGAACAAGAAAAGCATTGATGCAAAGCATCAAAGGGCGTCCAAGCAAGAAATGCAGCAAGTGAAGATGAACTAGTAGACATATGATGACAAGATATTCTTATAATCTTTTCAATGGTTTTTACCAGAATTGTATATCACTTATGAATGAGCGGACGAAAGACATTGTTCATTATGAACTTTGATTGGCATGCTAGAGATTAGAATATTACTTGTTATTTCTTTATGACCGTGGTTATTAATAGTAACGGATTTTGTGTGTTTGCGTTTGTTTACCCTCGCCACTGGAAAGAGACCATATGGGCGAGCAACGGATATACATGTAAACAATCATTTACAATCCATATGTGTAACGCGTGATCAACACCACACTTGTGTAATTGTCCCTTATTATGTTATCGCTATTAGCGAAGACCCCCTCTTAAAGTATCTATTCACACTTAGTAAAAATATGACACTGGTTATATTACCATGTTGATCATGTTAAGCATAATTGTTTATTATACAATAAATGTAATATATATTAATTTTGATAAAAAATTACAGATTTTATGAATATTGTTTTCTTTTCTTTTTTGTGTTTTATGCGCTTTTTTATGTTTACTTACTTTTTTTAATTTAAATTGTAAAATAAATTTTAAGAATTCAATTGTCATATTGACCGACGATTATAAGTCAAAAATTAACTGGAAAAAGTCAGTAAATAATGGTTAATCTTTCAATATATAATATTGTTTATTCTTATATTCTTAAACCATGTACATTTGTTTTTTTCTTTATCATTTTTTAATTATCAACCAATTGAATAATTCATAAAATCTAATTTGTAACTTTGAATAATTCCTCGGCATCTTTACTAACCACGAATAACAAATTAAATAAAATGTTTCAAAGTTGATAGTGTCGTATTATTACCATAAAAATGTACCCTTTTCTCAATTATTGTACATATTTATTGTTTTTATCTCATATAGATAAAATGAAACATGTATTGTTGTTGTTCTTGTTGTTTTTGTTTTTTTCGAATTGTATGTTTATGTATAATAAAAATCAATAAATTTGAGAGTTGATCTGTGTTCATGAATTATTGTAACCAAATTAACTGACAAACATTCATTTTGGAAAAAAGCTTATTTATCTGTAAAATATTTGTTTTGTTCTGTAACTATATCAAACATCTACTCCAAAACCGGGAGAGACCGGACAATAAACGGTCACTAGTAAATCCCGGTCAAAATAGACCGGGAGAGACCGGGAATTACCGATAGGAGCACATCCCTCTATAAATAGATTTTCGGAATATTTAGGTCATCAACTCATCATTCTATTTACAGCTTTCGGATAAATGTACAACAATAACATTCCATAGTAACCCACTGTGTAAATAAAAAAAACCGAAGAGCGCGATTTATTGACGGAAAAGGTTATTTCATTTGAAAATTTTTGCAAGTTCGCTATTCATTGTACCACGGATTAATTAATAATCAAGCACCTTCATACCGTTCGGAATGATCGGCTTTTATTATGACCGACTTAAAGGCTCGAGAAGTTGCTGTCGCCCTTTCACTTCTCACTTCCCCTCGGAGCGTGCACGTCGCTGAGAAGGCACAGGGCATCGGCAGAAGATTTACAACTTGGCTGGTAGACACAACTTAAATTTTGCCTTCAACCGTGGACGGTAACTACGGAACTACTTCGTCACTTCTGCGGACCAGCTGCCGATGTCCTGACTAATGCCGAGGGGAGTGGCCCTACAAAGTAGGCTGAGACGACGAGGATGGTGTGCTAGGGTGCGTGAGCCCCTAGCACAGATTGACGGCTTGTAAGGCAGGCCTATAGCTGGCACCAACAGCCCTTTTCAGGGCTAAAACACCTTTCTATTGTCACTGGTTACTGTACATTTAGGTTCTCATTGACCGCCGTACAGTGACCTACTTTTCGGCTCAAAATTCATATCTTTGGCTAATACTCCGTGGAAATTGCATGGAGGTAAATTATCACCATTTTGTGCTTCAAAATTAACTCTTTAAGGACATGACTGGTGACATGTCCGGGGTCCGTACTCGACAGCGCAAGCTGCATTTTGTGCCCGAAAGGGCGGATGGACCCTCATTAAGCTTTAACTACATACATACGTCGCCCTTTCACAAAATCTGATTTCATTCCATAAAAGGGGCGCCGCGCTTCAGCGCGGACGCCAATCATTCTCTAATTTACACGTACTGGTTGCAAAAAGAATAAAATAACATAATGTATTTATTTCTTAATGCTTACACTGATTTACAGTTTCAAATGATTATTTCTTCTCGTCGAATCTTGCCACATATGCCTATATTTAGCTCCATACTCTGGCTTAATCGTCAATATCCCAAGTTCGACGAATTGTTATGGGTCGAACAGTACGCTGGTAAATTTTGTTACGGAGCTCCATACTCATTTTGTAAAACATTTTAGGGCAATTTTATTGCATAAATGTAAATCAGGAATTTTGTTTGATTTAATATCTATCTGAGATGTTTCGTCCCATTTATATAATACAACGATATACACTTTCAGAACTAGCAGACGACAGGCTATTCTTGTTATTGCGTATCTCACTGTATAAATCGCATGTAAAATGGTCTGACATATGGTAGGTTTAACAGTTAATTTTAATACTTTGGAGTCAAAAGATGTATTGAAGTTTATACTGTGATGAAGCTAAGATCCAAAGCTTTCTATTGGTGTAATACATTTTAAAATCGGACATTAAATCACAACAAACAAGCGGTTTAAAAAAAGCTTATTTTGTATTGTTTTAGCATAAGCGGTATCGATTTTACTCTTTCATTCATGCTAGCAAGCGCATGCGTATATGCGAAGTTTAACGCGTAGGTATAAACTACGATTTTATCAATGAACTGTTATTTTTTGTTTTCTTTAAAGGAATGTAGAGTCTATTACTTCATGAAAATAAACGATTTGGAACTTTCAAAGCATTTAAACAACTTTGCAAACACTATTTTAATGATGTGTAGTCGGAATACTGCAGAATGAAGAACTAGTTTCTGTTGTTCGGTAAAACATAAACCTGTAACGATTTCTGAGATATAGCTTATAACTCTGTATACATTGCAAGCAATGTATACAAAAAGATACTCGGCTGAAGTAAAACTGGTTAATTTGCATATGTTATGTCTTAGTCTTCCATGCAAAGTCATATAGAATGTACGCAAAGCTTGCATAACAATGAATTAATAAATTTTTGTAAGGTTATTAATCTTGAAAAATGGAAGACATTAAGAATTGTATGTGTTTCTAAACAAAACTGTCGCATTTCGGTATGTGAACTCAATTTCTAACACCAAGATCTACGCAGTTTGTAAGGCAATTATTTTTATAAATACTTGATTAAAATATATAGAAATTAAATTAAATGAACACATCAACAATCATATAAAATATAAGACACTTATTGAACATCATAAACTTAGCGTACCTGATAAGTTCTGATATTATTCTTGTTATTTTGGTCAAAATTTTAAAATCACACTCAAAAGAGACCCTATATGGATCGCAGATCTAGGATATCTATCACGTTTAAACGTTATTAATTTAGAAGGTGTGTGCAAGCGTGTGTGCTAATGACCATTCCCTTGTGTTCCGGGAATCGAGTAGACTCTGCAGCTTGTTCAGCTATCCAGAACAATTTCATGCATTTTTGTTAACCAATTCACTGACATCCGCCAAACAGTTAAGGTTGCAGTTTGAAGTACGAAGTCATGTTCAACAAACACACGTTGGCTTTTCTTGTAAAGAACAAACATGCAAAGAATACTTCATATTAAGTTTTGCGAAAACATGCTGTTCTGAAAAGATCATTTAAAACTTATTTTTTATCTTTGGCACCCATTTGTTCAACTGTCCTGAATGATGCACCTATTTGGTACAGTTCCATATTTTACTCCTGTTGAGTTTTGTCATAGAATATTCTATTTTTAGCTCTTGCAACCATCTTAATTAACGGACCGAAAGTTTTTAACTATTTTTATTTGCCCTCCAATAATAATTCCTGTCTTGTCACAATAGGCCTAGTGATCTAAATCTTTTCATTAAAGCAAAAGTTAACGATGGACAGAGGCTTATAACTGTCATTATCTCAAATACAAAGTCTATTATCAAAACAAACCATAAAAAATTAGCCGCAAAGGCGTGCTATTAGGAAAGAATGTGGAAGTTAGTCACATCATAGTTTTGTGTTAAATAGCACACAATCTATATTTACACTTACGAATCGTATCAGATCATTTAAAAACCGATAAAATGGTCATCTTGAATTATTGACACCTATTAACTCATGACCTTGTATATCAAAAAGATCAATGTTCCATACACTTTCTTCTCTTTTGGTTCAAAAACATGGGCGAAAATTTTCTGTAATTAGCAATCACAAAACATATAGCAATCACAAAACATGTAATGATTTCACATTTCCTGTCTTTTGTTTGCGAATTCCATGTCTTACTAGACAGGTAAAATGTATGATGTTATTTACGCATGTGACTTGACCTAAGGCACGTAGACTGGTTGTTTATAAAGATTCATACTTGTAAACAACTTCAATATCTTATGAACATGATAAATGCTTGCAAAAGTTTGGCCTATTTACAATTTCAGTCACCTACTTAGTATTGCAATAATTGTTGATTGTGTAAATTATTCTTTTAAACTGCCTCGAATTTTATAACATTCCTTTTAAAATGATTTTACTTGCCTATACTTTATTAAATTCTATGACGTCTTTTTTCTTGAATTTTTAAACCAGAACGACAGGCTTACAAATAATTTCTGTTTTATAGTTACATGTATATCAAATGTAATAAACAAATAAATACTTTACAATAGAGAATTAACTGCGTTCATTTTGTGCTTATCTTTACTACCTGTTTACATGTTTATCTCCAAGTCCTGCTGGGATTAACAGAAGCACATGTTGTCACGTGAAAATGATAGTAGATCATAAAACAATTTCAAGGTTGATAAACACTCAGAAATAAATATATTTTCTCTTTCTGTAGGAAAGTCACATACTTGTTTTATAATGTTGCTAGATGTATGATGCTTATCACATGGAAGTATACCACTGAGTTAGAAAAAGTTTGTGATAAAAGGTAGCAAAATATAAACAAGGTGGTATTTTAACTATCACGTGACAAAATGCCTTGAAAAAGATCGTATGGCCAATGAGTTATCTCCTTTGGTTTTTGGAAATTGTAAAAGGACACCAATTTTTTTATTGGTTTATTTATTATTTTGTTATTTATTTATTTATTCACATTTTGATGCTTAATTGGTGTTTTACCATTGTATTTGATTAGTGTCAAGAGGTTTTGCAAAAAAGTGTGTACATAAATTCCTAAAATCATTTTTTCATATGTGAATGTACTCGACACTATCTCCAGAAAAAAAAACGATTCGATTCAACTCCATTTGAAATGCTCGAAATATGTAAAAGTTTGTTTTAAATTTGCTATACAACAATTTTAAAAAAACTCCACCGAGGTTCAAAAACCTCAAAACATAAAATTTGGATTTGGAACGTTGGTTAATAGGGTCACTTAAAACTGAATATTATGCGAAAAATAATTAAGAAATATACTCAACAGTAATTTGAAAATCGTACGTTTGCGCTATTCTTAGCCCGATTTGAGTGAAAAGCGTTATAAAGCTTTTCGATTTTGGTCTATTCTTCAGTGTTAGAATAATTATTGAGAAAGATGGAATCATTTGAAATTTTGCACACAAGTTATTAGTTTCACCTACATCAAATGGAACATTAATCTCGAAAAATAATTTTCATTCCTATCATGTCAGAAAACCTCAGCTGAGTTCCTTTAATTGAACAAGAAAACATAGAATATCATAGAAATGTATTTATCATAGAAACGTATTTTGACATCTGGATGCTGTCCAGAAAACCGATGTTTTACATGAACTCACACAATTGGAGAGTTAATGTTCAGATCAATTAAGTCTAAAAGCAAATATTTTTCAACAAAAAAAAAAACAACAACTTATTTTTAGAGTCCTTCGTTTTACAGTTTCTAAAAAGTTCTAAAAACTTTCGATACCTTTAGTACATTTATAGTGATTAAGTATTTTTTATATAAGTCACTATACAATTTTAAGATTACATTTTGTTATTTTTTATCACAGAATATTTCACATTATTCAGAAGATAAACATCTTAAATGTTCTATTTTTTTTCAACATTAATAAACACTTGTCGGTCATTTCTCCAGAGAGAAAAAACAATTAAATATTAATTTCTGAACATTAATTTGCTTTGCATACAAATAATGCATACATGTATTGATAAATGTGTATACAGGTGGGAAGTTGTCTATGAATTGCAACATGTCTAAATTTAAGGTGGATTAACAAGTTCCATGTGACGTAATCTAAGTTTGTGGTTTACATTACACTGCATGTAAAGATTATCTACCTTTTCAAATAAAATGTGACGTATTATTCTCATACCCAGTGATTATACTCGTAAGATTTATTTTTATAGTATCTGATCTCAACTTATTGACACTTTAATATTTGGTTTTTCAACTCTTTTTTCTTTGTTCATCGATTTAGCCTCTTTACCACATACAAAATATATAAGAATCAAAATTGATATAGTATTTTTGTAATGAAGCAAATATATATATGGAAAACAAAACAGCCTTTTGAAAACTTCTGAAAATTAACACAAATGTACTACTAACAACTGCGCAATTGTATTGAGGGGAAAAGATGGAAATACTAGTTCAACGGCCGTTATCTGTTCAAACAAGGGTCAAAATTAATACATGATTGTGTCACCATTTACTTGCCTTATCACAAAACTACGAACAATGTATATAAAAGATCTGATAAGAGTGGAAATAGAAGAAAAATGAAGTCAGAAACAAGTCTATGTTTCGGCATTTTAATTTCGATTTTCTATTTCGGAGTTCGCATTGATGCCACAACTAAAACTGTTCAAGACACAAATGATTTTAATAACGAAAAGTTCGAGTTACTTTTAAAACGACTTGAACATGTGGAACGCCGGAATGACGAAATGGAAAGGAGAATGGAAATGATGGCGGCAGACTTTCGTGAAAAAGAAAAGGCTCTGAACGATCGCATTGCAGAACTAGAAAAACTGAATGAGAAACTAAGAAACTATGAGAATGACAATCATGTGACGGACGAACGCTTTGACAACGCGCTTGATGATAGTGACAATGTAACAGATGAAACAAACGGTAGAGATGCAGTGAAGAAACAAACACGTACAATCAGATCAGGTAATATGAAATACATGTATATACAACTACATTTATATTGATTGTAAACGGACATGTACTGTTTTCAACATAAGACAACTTTACAAACATTCATCTATTGCTATTTTTGGAACTGAATGTCAGAAAACTGTACTTATAGAAGATCTAATAAATCCCTTGATTTTCGGGGTAGCAGTTTGACACCATCGTATTTTACTTGGAAGATTTATGGTCATTTTGCTCGTTAATGGGTTCGCATAAACTGTAAGAACACTCACAATGAAACGGGTTCGTCTAAATCACCTAAATTTGTTTATTAAAGCGACCACGCAGTATTTAGCACTTTGATAAAATAGGAAATTAACATATCAATATATTAAGACAAGAATGAGTCCATTATCTTTTTAGGACTAATATAAATAATAATCATTCTCATTTCAGGTTCAAGACTTGCGCGTTCTGCCCAATCCGAAGTTGCCTTCTTCGCCACGGTCACGCAACATGACGTTTACAATTTAGGCGTTAACCAGAATATTGTTTTTGATCACGCTGTTACCAACACAGGCAACGCCTTTCATAACATTCATGGCATTTTTACGGCACCTGTTGCAGGCACATATGTATTGTGCGCCACGGTTGCTGGGTTGTCTGTCAGCAACGACCAGACATATTACGCTCATTTTGACGTTAATGGAAAATATGTTGCTAAATTCATTACGCATCCCTATAGACAAGCCACACAAATGATAATACTTAAACTCCAGGCCGGCGACGATGTCTCTGTGAAAAACACCAGAGCAGAGTACGGTATCCTAGGGGCCATGTATACGTCATTTTCCGGATTTTTACTGTATCAGGATTTCGGGTCATCCGTAAATATAGTCGGAAAATGAAAAACAAAACAACACTTGTTACCTTTATAAATATCTTTAGTTCCTTGGTAATAATCTCAATATGTCAATTCAAGGAAAAAACTCTATAAAAAGGGGGAAAACTTTGACCCCTAACATGAAATGTTTGCAAAATGATACATATGTGTGTTCAAAATTGCTACTGACTTCAATCAATCTGCAAGCATTCAGATGAAAGCTTGTTTACACAAGAGCGCTAAACAACAATAAAATTAATACTAGTAAGTACTTTTAAATATAAACAAACCTGGATGAATCGCACATCTATCGCGTATAAAGGTTATTAGTTAAGTATGTGTGTGCAAGCGTTTGTGCTAACAGGAATCGAAAAGACGTTATCTAATATTCATCTCTGCTGTTTGTTCAGCTACCCAGAACAATGTCATACATAGTTATTAGTAACATTTTTGTGGATCGATTCACGTACAAACGCTTAATACTTAAGGTTGCATGTAGAACTACGGAAGCATTGTTCAACTAACAGTCATTAGCTTTTCTTATAAAGGACAACAAATAAGGTTTGCGAAAACATGCTATTCTGGAAACATCATTTAAAGCTTGTTTCTTTTAAGCTCTTGCAGCTATTTTGTTCAACGGCTCGGAATGATGCCTCTATTGTTGTACAGTTCCACATATGACTACTTCTACCGAGTTTCGACAAAATCTAATGTCATATAATATTCTATTTTTATCACTTGAAACTATCTTAATTAACGGACCGAACGTTCTTAACTATTTTTCTTTGCTATATAATTATATATATATATTGGTAATTCCTGTTTTGTCACAATTGGACTAGTAGTTGAAGGAAGTAATAATAATAATAATAATAATAATTTTATTCGGTAAAAGTGTACATGACATGGCAATGACATAATGATGCATAATGATACAATAAATATAACAATAATCAAAATATTAAAGAGACTAGAAATATCACATGACATAAGTATACGACAAAATATAAATATATGAGCCATGTAGTGCCCACCAATACCAGGGATAACACAAAAAAGAGGAAAGGATTCCTCTTATTTCCATTGTGGTCCCTGATATTGGAGGCATGACACAGAAAGTCATGTTAATTTGTATGAAATTGAAATTAATACTTTTACTAATAAGACATAAATTGCAATAATTTAGTTGAGATCACAATATATCACAGTCCAAGTTTGTATCACATTAAAATCACAGTTCAAGTTTGTATCACATCAATAAATCATGAAATAGTGCATCACAGAAATTGTCAGTCAAACTGTAAAAATTTAATAAAAATATTATAAAACGTTAAATGTGCAAGCTAAAAATGGGTAAATTACTAAAGGACACAACATATGTGTGTTGTGCTTAAACTTAAGAATAAGTAAAATCTGGGACTCTATTAAGACTATTAAAAGATTCAAATACTTTTGAAAAATAAACTAAAATTAAGTGGCCATTAAATGGGCTTTGATGGCATGCTTGAAGGTGTGGGAAGATTGAATATCTCTAAGATTTTGAGGAAGGCCGTTCCAAAGTGAAATACCATTAAAAGCAAAAGATTTTCTACCAAAGCTTCCAACCTTTGGTAAAGAAAATCGTCCTGTGTCACTAAAAGAATAGCTTACACAGGAATCTGATGTTGAAAGTGCTGACACTCTAGACCTGGTACAGCGGTCATGGACCTGATTAAGGGGTACAAAATGCTCCTTAAGGTATTTTGGGGCTGTGTCAGACTTTATTTTATGGACATGGCAAAGAGTTATCTGATCAACTCTTTTGGAGACCGGTAACCAGTTAAGAACCTTAAATTGCTCTGGCCCAACATGTGACCTGCTGTCCTTATTCAAAACAAAACGAACCAATTTATTCTGGGTTGTTTGGAGCCTTTTCTTCCAATACTGAGTCAAACTTGGGTACCAAAAAGAACAAACATAATCAAAATGGCATTGAATTAAGGACATGACCAAGAGTTTCCTAGTGTGGAGATCCAAGAATTGACTTTTCCTATACAAGTATTTCAGCCGGGCATTTGCTTTCGTAACCACTGACCGTGCAATTTCTTCACAGGAAAGGTTCTGGTCCAAAGTTGCACCGAGATATTTAACTGAGCTGGTAGCCTGGATATTTATACCATTACATGAAATATCTAAATTGCCTTTTGACCTTAACCTTGGTTTTGAACCAAACAGAATAGATTCTGTTTTGCCAAGATGAAGTGAAAGCTTGTTATCGACAAGCCATTCACTAACATACTCCATCTCAAGTGATAAAAGAGATTCAATGTCGGAAGTACTTTTACCACACACAAGAATCCCAGAGTCGTCGGCATACAATAAAAGTTTGTTTCTGACAACAGCCGACATATCATTAACATAAATTAAAAATAGAAGGGGGCCCAATATTGATCCTTGGGGTACCCCACAAGTGACGGGAGCCTGGCTGGAATAAACACCAGATACCTGAACTAACTGTTGCCTATCTGAAAGATAAGATTGAAACAATCGGACAGCATCAGAACTGAGGCCAATAGCATTCAGTTTCATTAATAAAATACTATGATTGACCGTGTCAAACGCTTTCTGCAAATCAAGGAGAACCATTCCCACCATGTTACCTTTATCCATTTGAAATTTTACAAAATCAGATAAATGGATAAGACACGTGTCTGTAGAAAAACCGCGTCTAAAACCGGACTGAAAACTGTATAAAATCTTGTTCTTACTCAAATACCCTTCCATTTGATCATATATGGCCCTTTCAAAAATTTTCGAAAAAACACACAAAATAGACACTGGCCGATAATTACCGACTTCAGTTTTATCACTTTTCTTATAAAGAGGGATAACCCGTGCATTCTTAAGATCATCGGGAACAGAACCCTGAATAATGGAGAGATTGACTATATGAGTCAAAGGACATGCTATAACTGTTGCACTGTCCCTTAAGAACCTACTGGGGATACCATCTAACCCAGTGGCCTTATTAGCACTGAGCCTATTAAGGTAATTTAGAATTTTGTTCTCTGAAACAATTGAAAATGAAAAGCTATCTGGAAAAATACCTTTAGACACATAAAATTTTCTTACAAAAGATTTATCATATTTAAAACAACTTCTTGGTAATTTTTCAACTAATTTTTCAGCAACAGTAGTATAAAAACTGTTAAATTTTTCAGCAACATTTAAAAAATCAAAGCAGATTTCTCCATTTATTTTTAAACCAATGTTACTAGAAGAACTAACACCTTTTTTCGATGGTAAACCAAGCTGTTTTAAAGATTTCCAAAGAGATTTGGAGTCAGATTTATTGTTTTCAATACTGTCTTTAAAATAGTTTTTCTTGGCATTGTGAATTAGAGACTGCGTATTATTTCTAAGCTCTGTAAAACTATTATAATGATCTAACGTTTTATTGTTTTTATACAAGTTAAAAGCTTTGTCTCTGGCACTTATACTTTGCAAAATGTCATCACTCATCCACGGTTCTGTCCGTTGTTTGATTCTAATTTCCTTTACAGGTGCACTTTTATTTAACACAGATAGAAAAATATGTTTAAAACTAAGCCAAGCTTCGTTAACATTGTCACTGAGTATTACAGAACTCCAATCTGATGATAATAAGGATTGTTGAAAGTCTTCTCTGTTGTAATTTTTTTGAGATCTTATTTTTACAGTATTATGTTTCCCAATAGAAGAACGTGTTATTTTCCGAGTACAGAAAATCATGGAATGGAAGTCTTCATTAAAGCAAAAGTTCCCGATGGGCAAAGGCTTAAACCACAAAAAATTAGCTGCAAAGGGCGCTAATAAGAATGTGGAAATTAATCACATAGTTTTCTGAAATTAAATAGCATATAATCTACATAAGACTCATTTCTTTAACACTTACAAACCCTATCAGATCATTTAAGAGTTGATGAAATGGTCATCGTAAGCTACTGACACCGGTAACTTCATTAACTTGCACATAAAAAAGGTCAATGTTTATAGACTTTCTTCTTTTTTAATCCAAAAACAAGGAGTGAAGAATTTTCTATACACTAGCATTCACGTTATGATGAAAATGTTGTTTTTTTATTTATTTGGGAACAACTGTTACAAGCCACTTTGCCTTCTCTTTATCCCCATTAAAAGTAATGACACAGTCATTTAAAACTTTGAAGCTGTGATCTGAAGTGTCCAATTTAGACCAAGACCCCTAAAATATTGGGTTATCGATCAATTCTGTAAAGTTACATTCAAATTGTTTAACTGGTATAAGAGAAGTATTCCAGACAAAATTTTCAAATGAAAATCAGTAAAGGGCCAAAAATCTTTCAAGCATTGAGTCTTTACTGGGTATCAGGCCTGGAGTCTTTACTGGGTATAAACAATCAACATTTAGTTAAAACTTCATACATGTATCTACATGCATGTTTGATGAATAAATTCAAGAAAAACCAAACTGATAATAATTTAAAATCTTTAATTCAGCTGTAGGATAATAAACATATCTCTTACTTTAAGACATATTTTAATAAATGCGAGCAAAATACTACAGTATTATATTATTCTATAAAATAGAAACTATAATCATCCAGTAAAAATTGAATAATATACATATAGGCCATGTTTCATAGATCTATAAACTTTGCAAAATCAGAACAATAATTTAATTCTAAAGATAATTGAATTATAAATATTAGTCCCATGACATCAGTGTTTTCAACACAAGTTCATACTCAAATAATTTATATTTAATAAGAGGCATGATGTAACAACTATAATTACTGTTGTTAATGTAAAAACTGTAATCAAATATATATATATATATATATATATATATATATATATATATATATATATATATATATATATATATATATATATATATATATATATATATATATATGACTTTAAAAATGCCTGTCACAATAAACTTTTGCATTATTTTAACCATTTCTGGGTTGGTTTGTACCGGTAACATAATTTGATATAAATAAATAGAATCTTACACAAATTGCCATTTATTTAATAAAAAGACTTAAAAACGAAAAGAAAAAAAATACTACAAAGCTCATGACATACATGACTGACACCTCAAAAACTAGACTCATTTCACCTTAAACCTGCTGGATTTACGAAATGGGACTTGCTCTGCTTTGAATTTGGAACAGTCCATTAGAATTTTAAGGGATTTTATAATCAAGCTACCATCAGTATAGAGCAGACGGCACCGACTGGCTAAAACTGGTTCCAGCAGGTTAAGGGTTAATCTTTTTCATTTCATCACATGGTCAAAATTTAAGTGAATCACATTTTACTTTAAAAAAAACATGGTTGTAAAAAGAACTAAATAAGAGTTATGGCCCTTTGGACCTGTTATTACAATCATGCATAAACTTAACTAAGGTGGAGTTTCTATGACATTCATTTATAATACATATTTGTTTTAAAACATCAATAAAGGCAAAAATGCACACTAAACGACAAGTTATTAAAATTACGAGACAGAAATACATGTAGTTTTATAAGAACTAATAGAAGATAGATGGACATGAAATAGAAATGGGGAAAGGAAGTCAGAAAAAACAGTGGGCAAGTCATAGAGACGCATTCTTGAAATGCAAGAATTATAATTAATTCTGTTGCAACAGTTAATAAATATGTAACAATATCAAAAACAATTAAACCTAAAACAACTATAATCAAAAAAAAAATCTTTACTTTCCCAAGCCACTCAAATACAGGCATCTGACCATCGTCAGCCATAACATTTATGTAGTCTGACCAAACTTTTACAATGTTTGCTGTAAACACTATTCTATAAAGTTTGATATTGGAATCCATATAAATTACTATGGATATTTCCAAACATCAGCAACAAGTTCAATTCATCACATTATTATGATAAAGGTAGAAGGCAGCGCATGGCAAGATTTGACTCATAGCACAATAAGTTTCTATTCTATGTACAGATAAACAAAATACAACACTATCTTCTAATAAGCTAATAGAAGCCATATCTTACAATTTGTTTTGTTGTTAAGTAACCAGAACACTGTTAAGACAATACGGCAACTTCCCAGCTTTACTGACAGAGGAAGAACTCGAGGTGCCACTCACTGCAATACTTCGGACAACAGAAGACAACTCAGAACAAACCACTAACCACTAACTATCCTGAAGATAGCTGGATAGCTTCCTGGCATAAAAGAGTTGCAAATCTTTGGTGTGGTTCGAACCCCTAACGATGAGGGGCAAGTGGCTTGAAGTCAGCGACTCTAACCACTCGGCTACAAAGGCCGCACAATTTAATCAATATAATCTCAACTCGTATAAATATCTGAAATAACAACAAGTATAACATTGTTAACAACCAATGACATGTATTTCTAGTAAGCATGTACCACTTACTGAAATAGTTAATGCAATTTACATATCACACAACTAAATCCACATCAATTGCAACTTCTAATGCACATAGCATTTCGCATTTATACAATATTTTTCCAAAAACATTTTAGAGATGCATTGATCTTTGGTGCCTTTTGTTTCAATATTTTCAAACTTTGTTTAGTTACCAGCAGAATCTTTTTACGCAAGCGGTTTTCTTGTATAAATCTCTTAAGAAGCATTTCTCACAAATATCCTTTTTCAATTATGATAAGTGGTTTTTTTTTGCCTAGAATCTTCCAGTCAATTTTTGTCGTTTAGTGTAAGTGTCAGCATAATGTCCACCTAAACCCTGTGAATGTTGACCTATATAATCTCCTTCTGGACTCGGCTCCGGTGACGGCAACACATGGGAAAACGGCCTTTTCTGGCCTTGTGGAGTGGCCTGAAAATCATAGTATTAAGACAATCCATTTAAAATATGTTAATTTTTATTTCATTTCAATATACGACTTATGAATAGAATAGAAGAATCATAATCATAACAGTATCACCTTGCTAAGCCTCGTCTTCTTTAATTAAAACAAAAACACACAAAAAAGGTTATCACATTATAGTTATTTCCTCAGGTGAACCTGCATTTACAGCAAATTAAATTTCAGGAAACAACAGTATGCGGATTATTTTTCAGGTTTAACTATGTTGTTTTGAGTCAATGAATGCATCACCAAAACAGAAATACTAACTTAGTAAGACTTTCAGTAAGGAAAAAAGAAATGACAAAAGTTTTGTTATTCTAACCTTAAATGACTTAATAAACACTAGATCTATGAACTAATTTATTCAAAGGCCCTTTATTTCTCAAAGGTTTTTATCTTTTGTGTTGTTTAAATTTCCAAAACAAATGCTCATAGGCCAAATACCTGAACCAGCTTTTGCTTCTGTTGCTTTTTGGCAATTAGTACAGTTATAGTGAGTAAGTATTTTGTGTGGAAGTCAAAATAATACTTTATATTTTGCTTCTTTCTTAAGAAAGGAAATATCTTTTTTTTAATGTGTCTTGAAACAACTTTTAGAGGTAAAATTTAACTATTGATTTTTAAACTAGTAAAAAAATGTTCTACTTGGTAAAATAATGTTGAATATTGGACACAAAAATGTTGAAACAGTAGAAATTTAACATATCCCTAAACTTACAAGATTAGATTGTGTTGTTCCAGCACCACTTGCTGAAAATAATGAAGGAATTGAAGGCGGCCCCATCAGACTTCTCATTCCTGACCTAGCTCCTCCGCCTGGGGTACGACTCCCATCCCTGCCAAAGGAACCAGCAAAGTTTGACTGCATGGTAACATCCCGTCCAACGGAACCAACCAAATTAGTTGCTCCTGATCGGGCAGGAAAATCCGTCCTTTGAGTATTATTTGACATACCAGGCTGGCGAGCGTTATTAAATGAGCCCAGAAGACTTGTCATAGAAGAGTTACCCATTTGTCTAATTCCTCCATCAATGTTTCCATACGGTCCTATTTACAAACAAAAGATATTGTACGCTTTACAAACAAAACAAAACAAATGGTCCTACATGTTTTTACAAACAAAACAAAACATTACATGAAATGCTGATTAAGCCTACTGGTAACATTATGCTATCATGATATATATGTATATAGAAAATATAAGTGTGCTCCCTAAATGACAGAATTATGGATCTCAATCTATCTTCTTTATGCATAGTAATGCTTATCACCAAAGTTTTGCTGGATCAATAGAAAATTTCACGATTATTCTCCTATGAATTTATGATGGCCTTCAAAGCTGAGCTGTTCAGGCTTCAAACCTGTCTTGCTGTATGTTCAAAACCCATCTGGGACATTAAATTCTTTCACAATATTAAATAAGAAGTAATGTATTAATTAAGTTTATTGCTTGTTTGGTGGGTCTGCTTAGATTTTTGCACATGCCTGAAGTAACACTATAATAATGGGCAATTGTCTTCCTTGCAATTATAAAGCTGCAAAGTCAATTTATGACCTAAATAGCATTTGCACAATCAAAAAAAAATATATATATATATATATAAAAACATAGAAAACAACTAATATGGCTTGTGAAGACATGTAAAAAACAAGAGGGCCATGATGGCCCTGAAATGGCTCACCTGTGTATAGACCCCTGGGCCAAAGTCAATTTTAAACCAGGGGCTTTTATTTGAACAAACTTGGTAGACACCCATTAGAAGATGTTTCATGATAAATTTCTAAACTCTAGCTCTTTGGGGTTTTTATAAGAAGATTTTTTAAGTTTTTACTATAAACATATAGGGAAAAACAATACCCTCCCCCCCCCCTGGGAGGGGCCAATTTTGACACCAGGGCTTTTATTTGAATGAACAAACTTGGAAGACACTCACTAGAAGATATTTCATGCTAAGTATCTTAACTCTAGCTCTTTAGGTTTTTATAAGAAGATTTTTTAAAGTTTTTACTTCACACATGAGGAAAATCAATGACCTCTGGGGACGGGCCAATTTTAACCCAAGGGCCCTTAACTGAACAAATTGGGTAGACACCCATTTAATAATGTTTCATGTGAAATATCTTAACTCTAGCTCTTTGGGGTTTTTAAAAGAAGATTTTTTATGTTTTTACTAAACACATATAAAAGGAAAATCAATGATCCCCCTCCCCCCATCAGGTCCAATTTTAACCAAAGGGCTTTTATTTGAACAAACTCGGGAGACACCATATGCTAAACATGTAAGCTTTTGCTCATTGGTGTTCTTTTTAAAGAAGAGTTTTAACTATACACATATACTTAAAAACAATGACACCCCTGGGGCAGGGCCAATTTTGACCCCAGGGCTTTTATTTGAACAAACTTTGTAGACACTAGAAGATGTTTCATGCTTAATATTTAAACTCTAGCCATTTGGGTTTTTTTAAAAAGAAGATTTTTTAAGTTTTTGCTATACACAAATATGGAAAATCAATGACCCCGAGGACGGGGCCAATTTTGACCCCACGGCTCTTATTTGAACAAACTTTGTAGACACCAATTAGAACATGTTTCATGCTTAAATATCTTAGGCCTAGCTCTTTGGGTTCTTTAAAAGACGATTTTTTAAGTTTTCTATTTGCATATAGGGAAGATCAATGACCCCCTGGGACGGGGCCAATTTTGACCCCGGGGCTTTTATTTGAACAAACTTGGTAGACACTCATTAGAAGATGTTTCATGCTAAATATCTTAGCTCTAGCTCTTTGGGTTCTTAAAAAGAAGATTTTTTAAGTTTTTACTATATGCATATAGGGAAAATCAATGAAACCCTGGAGCGGGGCCAATTTTTACCCCAGAGCTTTTATTTGAACAAACTTTGTAAACACCCACTGGAAGATGTTTCATGCCAAATATCTAAGCTAGAGCTCTTATGGTTTTTCAAAAGAAGGTATTTATAGCTTTTCCTTTTGGTTGCCGTTCTGCATGGAATTAAATTCTTAGAAGAAGTTTTAAAGGTGACCACCAAAGGAACATGCCTGTGAAGTTTGGATGAAATTGGCTTAGTGGTTTATGAGGAGATATCATTTAAAGTAAAAGTTTACGGACGGACGACGGATCGACGAATTCCGGACGAAAAGCGATCACAAAAGCTCACACTGTCATTTTGTGACAGGTGAGCTAATAAGCAAATTTTATAAAAGAGTACCCAAGAATGCTACAGACAAAGTTTGGTGATCATCCATCAATTGGTTTTGAGGTAGAAGATGTTTAAAGGTTTTTCTATTTTTAGTTAGCTTTAGTGGCCCCTAAAAGGGGCCAATCAAAATAATATAAGCAAACTTGATAAAAGATTACCCAAAAATGCTACAGACAAAGTTTAGTGATCATCCATTAATTAGTTTTGTAGGAGAAGATGTTTAAACGTATTTCTATTTTTAATTTTAGCGGACCCTAAAAGGGGCTAATCAAATTAATATGAGCAAACTTGATAAAAGACTACCCAAGAATGCTACAGACAAAGTTTGGTGATCATCCATCAATTAGTTCTCTAGAAATAGCCGTTTAAAGGTATTTCTATTTTTAGCTTTTGCGGCCCCTAAAAGGGGCCAATCAAATTAATATGTGCAAACTTGATAAAAGACTACCCAAGAATGCTACAGACAAAGTTTGATGACATCCATCAATTAGTTCTGTAGGAAAAGATGTTTAAAGGTTTTTCTATTTTTAGCCCTAGAGACCCCATTGATTAATCTTTACAGAAACAGTCAAATCAAGCATCTCAATAAAATATAAATTCTCATACGTGTTTATCTGATTAGTGTGTGGTCATTTAACATTTTAGAATATCGGGGTATATCTGAAAGGAAAACTTGCTTACTATTTATTTTTATACGTATTATACAAAAATATAGCTAAAAGCTAGCACGGTTACCATGAATACAAATTATTATCTATCATGGGAATATATACGCAAAATTTTCCAAACGAATATACGAGCATGTGATTTTTGTTGTCTGTGGCGTGATACAAACATTGCATCGTGTACAATCCCGCATTAATACAACATAATACTTTATTTCCGAATAGTTTCCAGACAACTGTCGTACTTGAAAAAAAAGATGAGATTTCATTTCTAAATGCGTATTGGTGAACAATATCAATGAATGAGTACAGGAAAAGATGTGAAATCGATTTTATGGGTGCACCAGGTCTAATCTAAGGCGGATTACAGATTTCGTTACAACGTGTAGGCTCATGGTTAACCACATCTTCCTGTTAGTACATATTAAGGTTGAGATATTCTTAACAAAATAAATACAAAGTCTTGGTTTTCATAGTATAAGATTTAATCCTACCCAAACCAAATCTGTCGTTCAGGCTTTAAAAATGAGTCATTCAGATGAAAAAAGATGTTTACTTATTTTACTGGGAAATATAGAAACTTAGCCTGTCAATTTATATATACTGCATTACAATACTGTATGAATTTTACGGATCTTTTTAAACCGATCAGAAATATAAAGAGTAGATAACTAATTACTTTCCTTAGATCTCATAGTGTTGCATACTTAATGTTGTTGTCTTGTGTAATAAGCTAGGTCATTAATTATTTATAAGAAAGACATAGGCCTATCAATGTAAACAACATTCTATTGTTAATGCAATATAATAATATATTTAAGGATCCTGTAACTCAATTTTTATGGTTTTATATCATAAATATAATGCTCAAATGAAGATTTATCAATATTGTAAGTTCCAAAAAGCATTATTTGTAAAGCTATTACCGACTTTACATTTCATGTTAATAAAGGGAGGTACTTCGAAACTTATTTTCTTTAAAGTCTAAATGAATTTTTTCAGTAAAATATGAATGCATATATTTTAATGATTACATATAATGTTACAAATATTTTCAGTACATATTTTACATATCCTTCGATGTTTTGAAAATTATTTTAGAAGCCTTTAAGTAATCTGTACTTTTTGGGCAAGTACGATAGTTGATATTTCAATAACATACTGTACATGTATACCATATATCGGTATCCGGAAAATGCGTTTACAAGTGTCTATTTGGTTCACATGGCAGTAAAAAAATCTTAATAATTCTTTTTTCATATAATTATATTACTGTAAAGAGGTTTAAAATATTATTATTTTGTTCACTTTTTCACAGTATGACTTTAATATCATAATATCATAGCAACCAAAGAAATCATAAGGCATATATTTTTATTTCAAAGTTCTTACTTCATAGAGTTATCAATGTATGATTGACGTTTAAGTCAATTGAAAGATTTTGTTTACAACAATCTTTAATGTTTGTGGAAGGCTTATGAAAATTAAACAAATTAATATGTATATGATTTAAAGTGTTATATAAACGTCTAAGTATCGATCAGTAATATAATAAAAGTTACATATAACGGAGTTATTAAATTCTTATTGATGTCTATTAATAAAACAATTTAGATTTCTTCTAAATAACGTAACTTTATATGGTATAATTGTGTATACTTTTTATCAAATGACGATTCTTCTTTAAGATAAGGTGATAAAAATAGATGATGACTTAATAACTCTAATGTACATGTATATGATAGATTTATACCGTAATCTAAACGTTTATATACGCGCGCTTTAAAATCAAATCTTTAAATAGAGACTTTGTCAAAATAAATGTAAACGAATTAGTAAAGATTCCATCAGCAATGACTCTCTGTGGTTATAATATACCCTATATTTAAAACTTGTAAATTAGTGATATGTAAGCAATATCTTTACTTTTGGTGAAAGATAACAAACAATAAACATTAACTATTTCGTATGGTATACTGTATATTATTTGATATACATACTCGTAAAAGCTGAAAAAGTTATGATCAGTTCATGACAGATAATAACTTCTCGCATGCCCCCTAGCACCGACCTAAGCGCCTTCAATGGAATCAAAGTATAATAATAATGTCAAATATATTTGTAAACAAATTCAATTTCTTACGAACATAATAAATGTCTTAAA